CAATGATTACAAAATTCTGGAATTCAGTGATTTTTTCACCTATTTCCAGTGATAGAAATGACTGAAAATAGGGAATACATTCCTGAAAATTAATGAAATGTCCCTGGAAATGAAATTTTTTTTCCCTGCACTCGACATAAATTCTCTAATTTTTTCCGCTCTATTCTCTTTTCATAAAAGAAACAAACAAACAAACAAAAAATTTTTAATCGAGGAATTTCCATAGAACCTATTTCAACAGAATAAAAAAATCGAATTCGTTAGGTTTTTCTGTATAGAAATTCATATGAAATTTTTTCGTGCGGGATTATGAACGGATGGGAGGTTTTTACGTTACACGGAGGAAAAACACGAAAATGATTAGAGAATGTGGAACATTTTTGGAGGGGCACTCGCCTGAGACGGGATTTTCTTTACGTTTGGGAGGACAAGGAGAGTGTGGGCATGATGTTTGGACACTGAAATATTTTTTTAAGGGGAATTATTATGGATGGAGAGAATTGAGGAGGAATTAATGGGGAATAAACGAGGCACAAACAACCTTTGCGGGAGATTTTGTAGTGAAAGGGAGGAGAAAGTCAGTTTTGTCCTTAAAAAATTTCAAACAAAATTATGAGACAATTTTAGACGACAGTTTTTTTTCTAATTCTCGGTACACTTCTTGGAAATTTTTCCCAAGTGCTAACTCCGCTGAAATTTAAATGAATTTCGTTATTGAAATTGACATTTCGATGAAAAAAATCAAAGGAAACTGCGAATTTTACCTAAATTTGAGGAATAATTAAATTGAAATTCACAGTTTTCATTGATTTTTTCATGAAATTGGGAATTTCTATGGAATTGTTTTCATCTTCAATGGAATCGTCTGTTGATGAAAATGTTAACAATAAAATGAATGAATAATTGTAAAATTTCAACCATGAAATTTGAGCAAATCATTTATTAATCATGAATTTCCCAAATTCACTGAAAAATCAATAGAATTAAAAATTTAATAATTAATGAATCCATTCATTAATTATGAAATAGTTCTTTGAATTCTGATTCTGTTTCTAAAACATTTATTCCGAATAAATACCGAAAATTGCAACGACCTTTGCGGGAGATTTTTTCGTAAAATGGAGGAGAAAGTCAGTTTTGTCCTTAAAAAATTTCAAACAAAATTATGAGACAATTTTAGACGACAGTTTTTTTTCTAATTCACGGTACACTTCTTGGAAATTTTTCCCAAGTGCTAATTCCGTTGTAATTTGAATGAATTTTGTCATTGAAATTGACATTTCGATGAAAAAATCAAAGGAAACTGTGAATTTTCCTTCAATTTGAGGAATAATTAAATTGAAATTCACAGTTTTCATTGATTTCTTTATAGAATTGGGAATTTCTATGGAATTTTTTCCATCTTCAAAGAAATCGTCTCTTGATAAAACTGTTAATAATAAAATAAATGAATAATTATAAAATTTCAATCATGAAATTCCAAAATTCTCTGAAAAATCAATAGAATTAAAAATTTAACAATGAATGAATGCATCCATTGATTATAAAATATTTCTTTGAATGTTATTTATTTATTCTAATAAAATGGACATAATCCTGTAAACCTAAAGCATTCATTCCAAATAAATCTCGAAAATTCTGAAAATCGTTAATAGTTAAGAATTCAATTAATTCGTGCGAGCATTTAGCACTGCGGAAGTAATAAGCCCCATGATTTATTCTGCTGCGCATGAGCCCATTGCGCCAAAGCAATTTTTCATCCCAATACATTACGATTTATTGTAGAACTGACGTCTTTGAGGTAAGAGTGCGGTCAGAATAGTAAAGAAAGGCTTTTTCTCTTTTCAAACCCAGAAGATGGGCGTGACGCACCCCCTGAGGCTCCATTAGCGGTCGATGCTACAACTTTGGCTCACCGCAAAGCCTTCAGTGCCATCACTTGCAACTATACCGCGAATACTAAGTAATTTATGGGGTTGTCGCCTAGGGATTTTCGAGAGACCCCTCAAAACCTCGCGCAGGTTGTGACTTTTGCTTCATTATTTTACAAGTTGCATCTCACAAATTGTGAAGTCAATAACTCACAGAGAAATGCATTTCAATTAAATAAATGGTTTATTTGGTCCCAATGAAGAATTGTTACATGTTGATAAATTTATTCTCTTCGTTGTCGAAACAATCATTTGTTTATTCTGGTGAAGAATAGATTGTTTTCTGTGAATTGTGGAGGCGATCGCTCGCAGATATGACGTAAATAAATTAAATCGAACTTTTTGGTTCAATTTAATGTTTTAGTTGTATGAAATTACTAATTAAGGCATTCTAAATAAATTCTGTATTAAATTCCAATTAACGATTTATCCGAATGAAGGATTATTACATGTTAAGAAAAATTTATGTTGTTTACAAAAATTTGTTTTCGTCGAAGAATCGTGTATTTGTTTCGAATTAGATTAGGTATTCATTTAATAAAGAAATTTTTTCGTCGTGGAGACAATTTTTGAAAAAATTTAGTAGGAAAATATTCGTATTAATAATTTTGTTGAATTAATTCAACTTTGTGAAACTTTCTACAGTTGAAAAATGTTTTATAACGATTTAAAATACTCTATTGAAAATTTTTGGGTGAATTTGCCAGGGAATTCTTTGAAAATTTTACAGCTTCACTGAATTTTCATGAAATTTTATTATTTAAAATTCACAATTTGATGAAAAAATTGAAGAAAACTAAAAATTTGAATTCAATTATTCCATGAAAATGAACACAAATCAGGAAAATTCATGTGAGCATATTCTCGAATTTTTAATCAATTCAAAATTCTAGTGAGTTTGGGAATTTTTTATTTTATCCTCCAAAAAGTTGAAATTTCATTGAATTTCACGAGAACTTCCTAATTTTCCTGTGCATTCCTCGTGCAATTCTTGAAAATTTAACAGCTCCATTGAAATTTCAAAAAATGTTGACATTGAAAAATTCATAACTTGTTAAAATCCCATAGAAAACTAAAAATTTCAGCTCAATTATTCCCTCAAAATTAATAAAAATTTATAATTCCACGGAATTACAGTTTTCAAATTTTTTCTAACATAACAAACCAACTTCACCCTTACGGCCGCCAAAATAATGAATTCACAAAAAAATGTCGCCATGTCAAAACCGTCAAAATTATTTCAACAAAAAAAAAGATTTACAAAAAAAAATAACATTTTCGATAATGAAAAAACCAACTTCATACTTGAGACCGTCCAAATGATAAATTCACAGTGAATTTAAAAAATGTCAACATGTCAGAACCGTCAAAATGATTTCAACAAAAAAAAAATTTACAAAAAGAATAACATTTACCGTGTTTTCCCCTGTCGGCTCGCGAGCCTCCATTAGAGACATTTAATCATTGACTCGAGGGAGTCAGGTACATCCCACCATTCGAGGAAAAGGGTTGTTGCGTTAGTTACGGGTATCCTCCATCCCCCCGAGAACCCTAACGCTGTAACAAGATTACCGAGCAATTTGTAGGGAATGCTCAGCCGATTCTTCTTGCCGAAGAGTCCTCCGTCGGGAATTGATCCGTTGCAGCGTCTCTGCGGCCCGACGAACTCTCGATTTTCCTCCTCAAACCGCCCTTCCTCGTGGCGCAATAAAATTCTTCATGACGATAATGTAATATTCATGTTTACTACAGAAATGCTAGCGGCGGTGGGACGTGTTGTTAGGTGCGATACATGCTGCGATAGTGTATGGGATAGACTGTGGGCGCGGCGTGGCATGGATCTCCCGCTGGGTCGAGTCAATATGGCCGACGAGTTTGAACCCACGCAAAACTAGATTAATCGAATAATACATGTATTCAATTTGTTTGAATATTTGTGGGGAAACAACGGGTATTTAATTTGATTTTCGAGTTGAATTTGACCTTTTGGAAATGTTGGTTTCACTTAATTAATTAAGTCACTGTCATTCTGAGTCATTCTTGCCCCAGAAAAATGGACTATTTAATTTGAGTTATTTATTGAATTAATTTTGTTGGAATTTAATGGATGGGTTTATTCAAATCGGTTCTAATGAAGATTTTGTTCAAACTTGAACCTTTTTTATTTCCTTTTTATTCATGTCATGTTAATAGTTCTATTGAAATAAACAAGTGTTTTCTTGATGCAAATGAAGACTATTAATTTGATATGAAATCATTATGTACAGCAGCGGCATCAATAATTAATTTAGTAATATTATGAGAAGTTACACGTGACAATAATTAAGATTTACTCGTCTCCATTGAAATTTGAAAAATAATATAGTAATTGCTAATTAATTTTTTTTCAATTGACTATTAACTAAATAATTGACAACATGGAATTGTCAATTAATTATTGAGCAACGGTTTCTAAATGTCATAAAAGTATTTTTCGATTAGCCAAATAATCGTCAATCTTCCGAACTTAATTATCGATTGATAAAATAATTCGGAATTTGAAATTTAAATTGATTATTGATAGAAATCATTCAGAACTTGAATATTCAAATTGATGATTAATTTAATAATTAAAGAATTGATGAGTAATATCAACAATTGACTCACTCAAAATTTAACTTTAATTAAACTTTATGATTATCCCAATGTCTTATTTAGAGAGCGAAGAGAATGACTTTATTATCGTGTAAAATTCCCCATTTGGAATAAATGAATAATTTATTTCCCATAATCAAAACACCTTCAGTTCACATCTTCGTTCATAATTATTTCCCGGTTGAACCTGGAAGTGAAATTGGAAAGTTGTCATTGTAGTCTTCCCACTGGTAGTAGCAAAAAAATACAAGTAAAAATGATTCATGCAGGCGTTTGAACCGTGATGATTGTGTCAAATGACCGGTGAAAATCGTTGGATTTGTTCCGGTTAATGCCCGGATGTTTTATAATTGAGGGAATTGACTGGCTTCATTACTTAGTGCTGGGTCATCTGGTGGAATTGTTGGTTATTGAATTGTTTGTTTGATGTTGCAGGATATGGATCTCATCGAGGTGCTGTGGAAGCAGGACGTCGACTTGGGTCTTCCTCTCGTGGATCCGGATCAGACGAGTCAGAGTCCCTCGACTTCGGAGAAAAATTCGCCGGATGAGATTGAGAAGCTCAAGACCTTGGAGGCTATCAATGCAACCAAAATTGAGGTAATGTAGACCAAAACATGACCTTATGCACATTTAATGCAAATTGACCCAGGCGCGGACTCGCGATTTAACCCCTGATCACGAAAATAATTATTGAAATAATATTAAAATGCATCAGACGTTTTTCCTGTATGCTTTTTCATGTTTAATAACATATATGATTGAAATTTATCTTGTGGAAGAACGAATAGTCGAAATTAGTTTTGGGGCATCAGCCAGATAATTAATAAGAAATTATTCGTGTGAAGAGAGCAGTGGAAAGTCTTTACTGAGCGGATTTAGCTACTGCGCCACCTCGCGGTGGCGTCCCTGTACCTAGTCGTCGTAACCTCTATTTAATATTCAATACTTTTTGAAAATACAGTCAGAGAGAAAGGAATTACAACGGAATTTCGTAGTTAAATTGATAATTAAATTATGTCGAGGGAAAAAGTTGTTCATTTATTTATAATTATAATTTCTGGAAAATTTCCACGTAAAAACAAATCGTTTGACATTTTCATAATGTCTTGAATACAAGTCACCGAATTTAAGACATTTGTTTCCATTCAAGATCTAGAATTTCCAGAATGCATGTCTTAATGTCTTAATTTCAGACACTTCTTTTTCTACTGCATATATTATGATTTCATTAGAACCAAATTAGTTATTTAGCCAGTCATTCGTCCCCCATGACGAGAATTCCATCCGACTCATGATCAAAGCAAAATGACGGACTGAGTTTTGAATTGTCCATCGTCTCAGTGGAATCCCGCTCCTGCGGGGTGGCTATCTACCCGAGATATCTCGATTGTAAATTCCTCCGATGGAGATATCTGGCGTGGCGCGCGCACCACAACCCCTTAATATCCATTCAGGACATTCCAGATATTACAACCTTATTTCTCGCGTGATCTTTCCGATAACGGGGACATGGGGACAACTCGGGGTGGAATGGGGCTTTATCAGTAGTTCAGCAGCAATCGGTCAGCCCCGGGAGAGTGCACTAAGTCGACGGATCCTTGAATCGACCGGGAGATTAGACACGTCCAGTAAAGCCCGTCCTTATAATCTTTAAATCTCCTCAATCCGCATATCGGGTCTCATCTTCTGTCCTGTTTTTAGGCCTCTGACTTGGCGACAAATCGCTCTAGTTTTTTCGGTTGAATTTTTTCTGGATAACCACTGACAAAAGATCGAACACTTTGGGACAATTCTTATACCCTAAATACAGATTCAGATATTTTTTGGAAAAGGTTTGCGAGGCAAAATGAGGACCGAATAGCTACAGTTTTGGTTCGAGAAATTTGTATGAATGACTCAACGAGATTCCTATTTGTCTGTCGTTTCGGATATTCATTACTCAAATACAAGACATTCATTTTTGAACAGAATAACGATGACGATGTGGTAGCAACCCTGCAACTGCGAATGAAGTATTTATCATTTAGCTTCAGTTTATGAGAGATGTTCACATCTTGAGACCAAAATTTTCTGCATCAGACCAGTTTTTTTATCTGATAATCTATCATAGACAGATCTATAATTCATTGGATTATCTCACTATTCATATGCGTAAATTTCGCGTGTGTGAATAAAGCAAGTTTTTCCTGATAATGATCAGAAAAGTGTCTGAATCAAACAACGGATGCTTCATTCGTCATGAAATTCTAATTCGAAAAAATCTCTAATTCTAATTCTAAAACAATTTTTTCGTTATGAAATTCTAAAAAATGCACATAATCTCATAAAATTTTATCAAAAATACGTGACACAATAAATCATCAACAAGAATTTATCCCTCGATACCCCCCTCAATTGTTACCGATATTTTGAAAATTAATGAACACAGGGATTAGAGAAGTGCATCTCGCCCGAAGATCTTCAAAGGCGACTGGAAATGTTGGCCTATACCTCGACTTTACAAAAGGCCCACCCGACAATGACTCTGCATTGAGCCTCCTCGAGACGTTGTTCCTCAGCTCCTCATTTTTTCATATTCGATTTTCATCCGTCTCTGTCCGCCACACTGGCCCCATTCTCTCCCTCCTTGTCTTGTATTCCCGCTGGAACGCGTCCTAAGTCTTTTGTAACGAATTATACCGCCCCGGAGTCGGTTGATTGTCTATCGATAGAACTGTATCAATACGGCTCTGGACCGTTCTCCGGAACAAACCAAACATGGGGAAAAAATCTCTTGGAGAAATATTGGAATGCGGTGTAGTCATATGATTGATATCGGGGGAATATAAAAACGGTAAAATTCAGAGTCGAAATTTATCTTGAGGAACAACGGATAGGGGTTATTGTTAGAGCATCAGACGGATCATTAATAAGAAATTATCTGTGTGAAGAGAGTAATGGAGAGTCTTTAGTGGAAGAATTTAGTTGCTGCGCCACCTCGCGGTGGCGTCCCTGTACCTAGGCATCGTAACCTCCCTGAATCATAGCTGAGAATCAATGATTACTTAATATTTTTTAAATAGACAATTAGAGAGAAAGGAATTATAATTGAATTTTGTAGTTAAATTTATAATTGAATTATGTCGAAGGGAAAAGTTCTTTATTTATCTATAATTATAATGGAGGGAAGATCCTTCTTTATGTGTAATTAGGGTTTATTAGTTGAATTCGGTCACTGTCTTAGGCAGATTATTGATAAGAAATTATTTGTGGGAATAGAGTAATGGAGAGTCTTTAGTGGAAGAATTCAGCTACTGCGCCACCTCGCGGTGGCGTCCCTGTACCTGACCGTCATAACGTCCCTAAACGATAACCATCGAATGTAGTTATTTGGTCCTTATTTTACATCAAAAAACATTTTTCGATACCAAAATCGGTACGCGAGTACTGGAAATGAGATTTCGTGCTTCCACAGAAGAAATCAATTTTTTGGAACAACTCCAAAGCCGATAAACACACACATATATCCAGCATCCACCGAGAGAGGGAGGTGCTTCGTCGATATTAGATGATAAATGTTGGGCAATCGCGTATACTCCGATGGAATAGAAAGAAGGGTGCGTTCCCAATGGACCAGTTCCTGACGCGTAAACGTGTTATGTACGTGTGCGAGTGGAAGAGGCTGGGCCACAAAGCGTAGCCGGTAACACGAAGGAGATTGGAGCAGAAAAGACGACCGGGGGGGAGATTCCAGGGGGGGATTCTGGGGATGTATTAATGGTTCTGGAAATTGAAAACGCGCCAGGCGAACACAACGAGAGTGGGCGGCACTCAACGGCCTTTCGCGCTCTTCCCCCGTCCTTCTCCCCTTCTCTCATCCATCTATCTTTCTCTTGTTGATGATGCCAGGGGGATATCTTCGAAATACTCAAAATGGCGGGTCAATTCCAACTTTTTGTGGGGAGATTGAAAAAGTTGGTGATTAAACCGGAAATTTAAAAAGTTGGAATTTAAAAAAGGGATAAAATTCGGAGATTTGAGAAAAAAGTTGTTAATTTTTTTTTAATTCAGGGGATGAATCCCGAAAAGTTGAGCATTAAAAATAGATATCAAAATTATGGGATAATGTTTAGAATTAATTCAATATTAATTGAGTCAAAACATTGAGATAGAATTATAAATTACGGAGGTGTTTCGAATGATATTTAGAGTATGAGTAAATGAATTTTAGAACAAAAAAATCAATAGAAGAACGGGAAAGGTTTTTTGGAATATTAAAAAATATGGATTAATTCAAGTATAATTCCTTTGAATAAATGGAAATTTCACTCATTCTCAGGAAATTTAGAGTTCATTTTTTTAATATCTCGAATTCTCGAAAATTATCAAAATCAATTTGTCAAAATTCATTAAAAACTTAATTATTTAATCGTTTTCTAATAGAAATTTAGAAAACGAATTCTTAACTCACTTTTTAAAAAAATTTGGTGACAAAAAATTCAGCCAAAAGAGTTCTAATTCCAGTATAATTACGACATTTTAATTTGATTTTTAAGGAAAATTTTCTCAAAATAAATGGAAATCTCCTAAATTCCAAGAAAATTCAAAATTAATTTTCTTAATATCTACAATTCTTGAAAATTACCAAATTAAAAAAATATTTTATCAATTTCACAAGCTTTCCTCACTTTTAGGTTCTCACTCAAAATTTTGCGAAACAATTTCCCAAAATTCATTAAAAACTACTAATTAATTTTCCAAAAAAAATTGACACTAAATTAACACTAAATTTTAATCAACTTTTTAATGAATTTATTGAGAAAAAATTCAGTCATAAATTCTGCTGCCCTCCCCCTCCACGCCGCTTCGATGGTCATGCATCAGAATTGAAAATAACGCAGCACTCAACAGCAACAATAAATGATGGAATCGCGGTGCGAGCGAGAGAGCGAGCGAGAAGGAGAAAAAACGAGGGTGAGTTACGGTAACGGGAGGGGTATTGGATGATGATGCGGCGTGGAGAAGTACGGGAGAGGAAGGGCGTCAGCCGGGGCTCACTATCAGGGCCCCGCGTTTATGATTAATGGTGCCGATGGACTACAATGCTGTTTTCATTAAACTCATTTCACTGGATGGCGTTTCAATGTGAGCGCTGTACATTGGAAATCCCTTCTGTCCTTTCTTCTGGCTCGCGTACGTGTGAGAGGGTCCTTTGATTATGACATCTCTATGATGTCTCGATGGGGTTTTCACACGGGGAGATATCTCTCGCAGCATTTTTTCGTGATTCGGCGATTTTTTCGGGGATTTTTTAGTGGACTGAGGGTGTTTATGGGGATTTTTTTTTTGTGCAGGATAATAAGGAGACGGAGGAGCCGAAGGAGGATGATCCCTGGGCTGGACTTTCTTACACGATTGACTTGGAAACAGGTGAGGAAATATTTTACTCTTGGGAGGGGGCCACAGGGAAAAATTTATATTTTGAAAAATAACACGAATTGTTACTGTGATAATTCAATATTTAACGAAATGAAAAAAATTTAGTTTTGTGACTCTTCTATATTTCTGGAACAAATGATCTATAGATCAATGAAGTACTCGATGACACTCAGTTTTTAAATTTTTATTAATTGCATATTCACCTCGGGAATTGATTATTTTGAGGAGCTAATATCAAAATCCATTTCATATCAAGAGTTAAATTTTCAACAAAAAATCCCTTTTGGAATTTTTTTGAATTAATTTTCTTCAGATAAATCAACATTTAACAAAATGAGAAAAATACACATTTTGACATTTTTCAAGACTTCTCAGAAAAATTATTTAAACTAATAAAAGATCACTAAAATGATCCTCAATTATATAAATGAACATCCAACCACGGTTTACCAAATAAATAATAAAAGTGCGTCGATCAAAGACTGGAAAAGGCGCAGTAAAAAAAATGTTACAAGGTAAGAAATATTATAAATTACTACAGGATAATTAGCCTACACGCACGCGGAACAATGGGTGTCCCTCATGAAAATGAGAGACCAAACAGATAGCAGATCAAAGCAAAATATTTTGATATCCAATTCAACTTTGATAGCACCGCCGCGGAGAATATTGCTCGTAATTAAACGTTTGAAACAAGAAAATAAGTTGATGCGAAACGCGCAATTAACTCGGTTGAAGAGCGTTGCAGAATGCATTTGCGCGAGCGATGCATTAACAATTTTGTCGTACGTATAGCGTTGTTGTGAGGTGGAGGGTGCACTGGGGAGTGGCCTCCAGGAACCAGCCTACCTTTCATGCTGGCGGTATGCCTCTCACGTCCCATCTCTTGCCTCATTCAACTTTAATTACATTCGTTGGGAGTCTCTTAGTTTTTATGAGGTTCACCTCCAGTTGTCGTTTACTCAGTGACTGAAATGAGCATCGTCTTCTTCCAAATTTCAACTTCACTGTGTTTGTCTCATTAAACTGCTTTATTTAATAGCCTATTGTGATTAGATAACAGTTTTATTCTATTCTAAATTCTAAACTTCGTAAATGATGAGAGCAAGCGAGTTGAATCAAGATTTCTTGAAGACGCTAGCTTTCGCGGACGCCACCTTGGGGTGGCGTCACTGCACTAATTCACACTTTTGTTCAGCATTAGTTGAATTAATCTCACGTCCGATCTCTTGCCTTATTCAACATTAATTACATTCGTTGACAGTTTCAAATCTGAACTTCACTATTTGACTTCCTTAATTATTGACAGATAATTTTGTTCATTAAACTGACCTATCTGATAGCCTATCATGAATAACTAACAGTTTTATTTCATACTATATTTCAAACGTCGTAAATGATGAGGCAAACGAGTTGAATCAAGATTTCTTGAAGACGCTAGCTTTCGTGGCGGCGCCACCTTGCGGTGGCGTCCCCGCAACATCTAATGCCTGAAAGAAGTCTTGATTTTTCAGGTTAAAATAACTTTAATGTTACCCTGAAATACGGACGATGAAAAGCCCAACGGAAATAATTTGTATGCTTCAATTTCGTAATTAAAAAAAATAATTAACCTACAAAATTTCCATCCATTTGACCATGAGTGCGCAGTACAGAAATGAGAATAACTAGAGTAAAGCTCCGGGGGTTTATTTTTTGCGCCAAACCACCCGATGATCCATTAATCAAGCAGCAATACAACTGAGTGCTTAGCTCGATCGATCGCCCCGTCGAGATTGCTCCGTAATGAGTCCCCGCGATTGCCCCTAACCTCGCCCCACTCCTGCATATACGTCGACGCGCCATTTGGCTGATACCTCAGGGCTGAGGAATTGGCGAGAGAATGCTTTTATCATTACCCTGTGTCAAATGTAATGCCGCACTGAGTCCACATGCCCTAGGAGATCTGGACCCACCGTTGCGCTCATACTCGGGGAGATCGGTATCAGCTATCGGTCTCCTTTCTCATTTCATTCGGCGCGTTGTGCGCGCCTGCGGTATCTTGGCCAATACCGCGTATCATTGACATCCGGTCATACCCTCAGCGATGATCATGAAGGGGACCTTGAGGCCATTTCAACTCCCCAGTTTTTTTGACTTAATTTTTAACTGGACGGAACGCGCGCTGATCTATCACCTAACTTAAAATATATTTATAAATATATTTATTGACCCTCCCTGATGCCAATGAAACTCTCGGGGACGACAGAAAAGACGAAAAGAAAATTTTCATTTTCACTGGGTCAAGGGTCATATTGGATTTTTCCCGGGGGAAAATCGACTTTCGCCAAAATCGAATTTTCCCGCCAAGTGAGGGTGGATTCTGCATCTACTCGCGATTCTGATGCCAATAAAATCCTGGGAGCTGGGGAAAAGGTCGAAATAAAAAAAAAAATTTTCACCCGGGGCCAAAGTGTCAGATCTGGGATTTTTGCCGAGGGAAAGTCGACTTTCGCCAAAATCGATTTTTTCCATTAAGTGAGGGTGGATTCTGCATCTACTCGCGATTCTGATGCCAATGAAACCCTAGGAGCTGGGGAAAAGGTCGAAATAAAAAAAAAAATTTCACCCGGGGCCAAAGTGTCAGATCTTGGATTTTTGCCGAGGGAAAGTCGACTTTCGCCAAAATCGATTTTTTCCATCAAGTGAGGGTGGATTCTGCATCTACTCGCGATTCTGATGCCAATGAAACCCTAGGAGCTGGGGAAAAGGTCGAAATAAAAAAAAAAATTTTCACCCGGGGCCAAAGTGTCAGATCTTGGATTTTTGCCGAGGGAAAGTCGACTTTCGCCAAAATCAATTTTTTCCATCAAGTGAGGGTGGATTCTGCATCTACTCGCGATTCTGATGCCAATGAAACCCTAGGAGCTGGGGAAAAGGTCGAAATAAAAAAAAAAATTTTCACCCGGGGCCAAAGTGTCAGATCTTGGATTTTTGCCGAGGGAAAGTCGACTTTCGCCAAAATCAATTTTTTCCATCAAGTGAGGGTGGATTCTGCATCTACTCGCGATTCTGATGCCAATGAAACCCTAGGAGCTGGGGAAAAGGTCGAAATAAAAAAAAAATTTCACCCGGGGCCAAAGTGTCAGATCTTGGATTTTTGCCGAGGGAAAGTCGACTTTCGCCAAAATCGAATTTTCCCATCAAGTGAGGGTGGATTCTGCATCTACTCGCGATTCTGATGCCAATGAAACCCTAGGAGCTGGGGAAAAGGTCGAAATAAAAAAAAAAAATTCACCCGGGGCCAAAGTGTCAGATCTTGGATTTTTGCCAAGGGAAAGTCGACTTTCGCCAAAATCGATTTTTTCCATCAAGTGAGGGTGGATTCTGCATCTACTCGCGATTCTGATGCCGATGAAACCCTAGGAGCTGGGGAAAAGGTCGAAATAAAAAAAAATTTTTTCACCCGGGGCCAAAGTGTCAGATCTTGGATTTTTGCCGAGGGAAAGTCGACTTTCGCCAAAATCGATTTTTTCCATCAAGTGAGGGTGGATTCTGCATCTACTCGCGATTCTGATGCCGATGAAACCCTAGGAGCTGGGGAAAAGGTCGAAATAAAAAAAAAATTTCACCCGGGGCCAAAGTGTCAGATCTTGGATTTTTCCCGGGGGAAAGTCGACTTTCGCCAAAATCGAATTTTTTGCACAGCTGCACTGATTGACACTCCAGCTTACTATTGTTTAAATTGATTTAATCCATTGTAAATAGAAATTATAAAGTTGAAGGACACAGCAGTAGCGAAGTGTTAAAGTGGTACAATTCAATTTTGACTATTGACCAGTTTTCAATGAATATCTCGGAATCTAAGGGAGATAGCTGAATTTTTGTTATAACCTTTTCTGTAGAGACGGTTGAGAGCTACAACAAATGTAATTAAGAAAATTTTGCTATCTCCCGTAGATTCCGAAATATTCCTCGAAAACTCAACTGGGAAATGAGTCGACTTAAACCATTTTACCACTTCGCTCCTGATATTACTTTGATAGGGCTGTTTATCGGGTCTTTTTATTCATTTTTTCAATTAAATATCTATCCAGAAAATAACAAGATAGAATTGCAAATTCCCCAGCGGAATTCGCACGAAAAAATAGATTCAAAAACTAGTTTAAAAAATAATTTGTCTCCACATAGAATTCCATTAAAAATTCAGTACCATTTTTTAAACAAAGTCCCCGGTTTTTCCATTCAATTTTTTCCTACGAGTTTGACGGGAGGATCAATTCCCCTCATCTACACCTCTTTGTTATTCATTGTGATGGGCGTTTTAATTCCCTGGCTATCTCATCCTCCCATGAACATGCCTAGCTGCTTCGTACCCATCATGTCAAGCCTTTCGATTAATCTACGAGAACTTTCGAAACCCATCCCGAGAATGTTAAGGTCCTGCTGCCCTGCCAACACCACCTAGTCACTTTTGTTTTGATGTAATACCTGATGAAAGGTCGAATTTACATCGAACAATTCATTTTTTACCGTTTCCCATGCGAGATTGGATTGCACCAGGGATCCCCATCAATATTAAATTTCTGTAATATTACAAGCATTTGACCCTTACATTATTGAAGGTGTAAAATACTTTGATTCAATTTTTCAAATAATGTAATACTAATAATCTGTTTTTTACGAATAATGATATATTTAAAAGTTGTTAATATGAAACTGTAAATTTACTACTAAGTGAATGATTCAGATTTCTCGAAAGGGGATCTTCGATGGCGCAATTAATCGTCAATCTTCCTAACTCAAATTATTGATTGATAAAATAGTTTAAAAAATTTCAAGAGTGATGTTATCCAATTAAAGTAGCTCTACCCTTACGGTAAATTCAAAAATTATTGAAAATTGCTAAAAAAATGCAGAAAACTCGATGAGATTTGGAATTCTAATTTTTTTTCAATTTAATTATCGTTTTGGTTTTTCAAAGAAGAAATGTTTAAAAATCAGGATTTAAC